CGTTAAAGAACCACTCTTGAACCAGGTAAAGAAGTTGGAGAACAAGTTAAGGGAGATCTGGTCGTGCCAGGACGAGGGCAAGTTGCGTAGGGCTGAACTCGTGACAAGAGAGTTAGACAATCTGTTTAGAGAAGAAAGAGAGATTATCCAGGCGTGGAGATCAGACTTTCTGGAGAGGGTAAGGGCTAGAAGCGTACCCCGCGAAGAAACTAGTGAGCGATCTGCAGAGAGTGAGACAACGGAAGACAAAGTAACGCAGGGAAGTAGCGACAGGACATGAGCTGGAATGCACTACACACGACGGATCGGTACTCATTATATGTGGTAGGGAGACTGAACGGACCATTAGTGTTAGTGATCATAGAACTCCAGCTCCATACCGGACTGTGCATAGTTGAGGAGGCATAGTGTGTCCGCCGCGCACTGCGTGAGGCTAGGGGAACAGGACTTTGGATTGGAATAGAAGGAGGACGGAGGATAAAATACGTACTCCAAGTGACACCTTTCGAAGGGCGGTCTCGGATAAGGGCATGGTACGAGACGACCAGAGAGGCTGAGAGGTTGAAGATAAGCGAAACCAGGAAAGCTGGAGAGTTAGGGAGAGTTGTAACAGATGGTGCAATACTCAGGGTTTTAGCCGCTCACGACCGGTACTGGAAGGAATTGATAAAGACTTTAGAGGCGATAGACGATGGTGGAGATAAGGAGGACTCTGAGACATTTTATGACATATTGGAGCGGTCGGCGATGAGGTTACAAGTGGTTATAGCACTAACTTACCTCAGCTGTTTGACAGATGACCTTGTAGGCGTCTGGGAGATAAGGTAGTGGAAATAGAAATTGGAAGCTCTTGGAAGGATAGTGGAAGCTAGAAAGGTCGATGGGTGACTTTGGATGGCAGTAGGAGGGCCTTTAGCGGGCTAACCGATTCAGGACAGGGCTAGGAGAACTAGCAAGGAGGACGGAGATAGACGCTCAGAGACTCTTGAGGGGTGTTGATCAGGAGACGTTGGCTAGGTTTGGGACTGCGATCTGTCTCAAGGATAGAGGTCCTGTCACGAGTGTACTGCAGGTCCGGGGAGGCACAGCCTTGTTGGCCGATCCCGAAGGAGAGGTTTACTTAGACACAGAAATTATTGGGATAGAGGGAGAGCACGAGATCCGCGACCGGTACGGGATACTGGAGGTGGTAATCAAGGCAGTCGAGGCCTAAGATTGGAGGCGGACGCGAGCCGTGACAAGGAAACAGGTCCGGGCTGCCGCATCTGTCACAGGTCCGGGCTGCAACGACTGTCATAGGGTCGGACTGTAACAATTGGCAAGAATACCTAACTGCGTCTTCTGGCGGTCCAATGGAACCCGACACGATGGGGCCACAACCGACCACGGGCGAAGCGGGAGAGGAGTACATGACATCGCC